CATAATTCCCTAAGTGAAATTCTGTGCTCAAAATTTTAATACCTGCCTTTCATTTTGCACACTTAGGAATCACCCATACATCGCGCGCTCTTCTGGGTCGCTATATCTGTGTTGCAATTGGACGAGGTCACACTGTATGGCGCCGGTCTTGCGTTGCTCGAACAAAATCTGCATACACTAAAGTCGCAAGGCTGCTTCGAGCATGAGAGCATTGCTGATGTTATGATGAATACGCGCGAGAAACTCGAGTGGCATTTCAAGCAGTTGGATCATGCGGTGGGCCTATCGTTCCGCAGCAATTTTCATTTCGCACTTGTTGGCCATTTGCTAAAAGTATTTGAAATGTGTTTTTGATTTTTTGCAACCTTCCTTAACACTAATTTTTGCACAGGGTTTTCGTCATCCCACACCCACAACTGTCTCACGTACATCGCGCGTGCTCACCATGCTGCTGGGCATTGTCGCCAAACCGTTGCGTCGTGACAAGTTCGAAGTCACACCGGATAGCGTTGCCTATTTGACGGCGTTGGTCGCCGTTTCGGAAGAAGTACGCTCGCGCTGTCACGTTAAGCATGCCATACCGCGTTGGCCCGCCGATTTGAGCATAATGGAAAATGGCGAAACGGCTTTGAATGGCAACCAGAATGTAAATTGCTTGTGCTGGCCTTCTTTCATAAATATTTATTGATTATTATTATTTTTTTAAATATAATTCATATAGACTCTCGGCATGCCGCTTTCGCGTCGCCAAAAGTCGTGGGACATTCTTGATCAGTCTGCTTTGCAATTTGCTCGTCATCACAAAGGCCCTACACATCAGGTGAGTTTCTTCGGTGCATGCGCATGTTGTATGAAAATCAGCTATCGGTATAATATTGATTTAATATGTAACCGAAGTACTGTTATTAACATCCTAATTTATTACCAGCAGTTATTTGGATACTGTACTCGCATATTTCAGTAATTTACCATTTCATATGCAGGATGAACGCCATTAAAAGAAACGATTATGCCTTATTTTGTTTTTTGATTTTACTTAAAATATTTAGATTTTGAGAATAATTTTTGTGTGACGTCACACTGGCTTTCTGCAAGTTGCATAAGTGTGACATCATACAAACAGCGATTCTATCAAATTCACTGAGGGCTGAATAGCGGTAAGAAATGAGCGTCAACTTTGTTCTCTACTTCATGAGGCAGCACAATAGAATAATGCATCAATACATGAAAGAAGATAGAGAGGGCGGAGGGAGATGGGGGAGATATAGTGCAGAAATGGCGAATAGGGAGAGATATTTTGGATGGAGGAGAGAGGGGAACTAAAGAGAGGAGAGAGTGGAAGAAAAGAGAACAGAGAGTGGATGATAGAGAGAAGAAAGTGGAGGATAGAGAGGGGAGGAGAGAGAAGAGAGATAAATTAAAATAAAGGTGAACGAAATGAGATAAGCGTGTGGAGAAGTAAGCATTGAGGGAGGAGAAGGAGGGAGAGGATAAGAGATAAAATAGAGAAGTGAGAAAGAAGAAGAACGAGGAGGAGAGAAGAAATGAAATAGGCATAGTAAGGAAAAGATAACTAAAGGAACAAAGCAGGAGAGCAAAGACAAGAGAGGAGATGAGAGAGGAAGAGTAGAAAATCGAAGAGGAGAGAGGAAAAAGTTCGAGGAGGACATTTGGAAAGATAGGGTAGTAGTGAAGAAGAACCCAAATAGGAGGGATTCTAGGAGGAAAAAGGGATTATGGAAAATATATCAGGAGAAATATGCAATAAATGGGACAACAGTGCTTAAAACTAAAGTATTCTAATGCAAACGGGGAAGAATTCAAGCATCCGTGATATTAAGCATCCATTTTAAAGTTACATTTAGAGTAAAACTCTGATCGATCGAAAAGTTCTCACATATACCAAAAACTGGTCCTTAGTGTTGCTAAGTGCTCATTTACACACGGCGATTTTTGTTGCCGCAACTCGACGTTTGTAGGAGAGAGCGCGACGAGGAAAGGAGAGGGGCACCGAGTTGCTCGTGCTCGGGCAACACGCTTTGTGCTCTCGTTCGTCTGTGTAAATTGAACCGCTGTTCACAGCTGACAACAACAATTGCATACACACAAATCGCCGTGTGTAAATGAAACGAGCAACACCAAAAGGGAATGTGAAAAATCGCGGCGACAAAAGTTTTCGTGTATAAACGCAGTCTAAGGGTGTAATCTTACAGACAGATCTTAATCGTAATCCAAATTTTGGCGAGCTCTACAAAATTGCTAGTCCTTTGGTCCGCAATATACTTTAGTGAGGAGTAAAATGCATATATAAGTGTTAGTGTTGAGCAGATAAAGCCAAAAGTATATAAACTTTGCACTTTCGTTGTGAAACAATAAATGTGAAAGCCTAAAAAAGCCTTCATAGGGAGGATACATTTGACCGTCAAGGTTCTATACCAGAGTCCAGCAATGAGAGAGAAAGCATGCGCAGAGCTTTCATAAAGTGTTTTTGTTTTCTATTTTATAGAGGAGACCAGAATTAAAACACTTCCTGACCTACGGTCCCATGGGAAAAGCTTTTTTTGTACGAACGCTCAGAGAGTCCAAGCTCTGTTCATCATTTCTTTATGCTACCGACGACCAAAGAGAACTTTTACTCCCTGCATACCTGAATAAAATCTATAGAGAGCTTTAAAAAGTCTTCCGCGTATTATGTTTTATCCGTTATTGCTCTATACCAGTGTTGACCAGAGTTAGTTTTTATTTTTTCTGCATATCAGTGGCGGTCAGAGAGAGCTTTTACTACGTGCACGCTCATATAAAATCTACGGAAAGCTTTTCGCGGGGTTTCAGTTTTGTTTATTACTGGTGTATATAAAGCGGTGATGGGCATCGCCCTGCCCGCAGACAAAGCTCTTAAGCTTTCCATAAATTTTGTAAAGGTACGTGTATAGTAAAAGCTCTCTATGCCCATCGCTGATATAAGTTAAAAGCCGATCCCGCGGGAAAATATTTTTATAGCTTTCTATATATTTAGTATGAACCCGCATAGAGTAAAAGCTCTATCTGATCGTTGTTGATATAAATTATACAAAGGCTTGAAAAATCTTGCTTCGAGGGAATATGTAAATATGTAGTGGCCGATTAGGCTATACACCTTTTTGTAATGATATTTTTGAAAACATAATGCTGGATTTCCACTAGGCATTACTTAAATGGCAAAAAAGACAAATGACAAAGTTGGGCATTAAAAAATAGTGTTGTCTTTACGTTAAAAAAATAGTCATTAAGTTCATTTCTAGATGACATTTTATAGATGCCTCCAATTTTTTCTCATTTCAATGCCTAGTGGAAGCTCGGCACAACTTTGCGCTCAGGGGGAATTAAAAATTAATTATATATATGTATGTATGTACAGCGACTCAAACAAGTGTTCACATACTGTTTGTTTTTTAATATTCTAAATGTTTTTCAAGCTAAAATTGTTTTGTTCTTTTTTTAATATTGTTCAAGCTTTAACCAAAATTATATACACAAATCAATGTGGTTGTTTCAAACTTTATATCAAATTTAGCAAAAATCAAAAATATGTCGAACTGTTTTGTCTGAATTTTTGGGTGTGCAGCCTTATAAAGTCTCATAAAGTTGGTTTTTATTTTTTTTTTTGTTGGCGGCTTTTGTGTTTTTTATATAAAGAGTGAAGTTAAAAAAAAAACGGGCATTATTAACCGACTTCACAAAAAGGAGAAAGGTTATCAATTCGTCGGAATTTTTTTTATGTATCTTACCGCATAACTTTGGACCAAGTCAACCGATTTCTAAAATTCTTTTTTGAAGGAAAGGTGTTACCTCACAGGTATAAATTTGGTTTAAATCCGATCATCGGGCCATGAAGAAATTAACGATAGTCTTAAATTTTTATATGAGAATTGAAGTTGGTTTTGTTTTTTGTTTAAAAATTACTTGTTGTTTTTTTTTTTAATTTTTCTGCGAACGGGTTTACGCAAATTATATCAAAGGAAATTTATGTTTGTATAAAAATGTGCAAACAAGTTATTTAAAATCGTTGCGATTTTTTAGCCGCTTAACGCTTGCATTTTATTCTACGAAAACTGTATGTGCTATAAAACTACATACTCCAAAGGGCTCTGAAGGAAGACTCACATTAAAAAACTCGAAATTTAGATGCATTTTTTTTTTTTAGTTTTTCAAGGTTTTGTTAAAGTTTAAGTGTGATTTATTTTTAAAAGAAATAAAGTTCTCTTGCGAAATATTGTGAATACTTAAAAAAGATTAACATCTGAACACAAATTTGAGCCACTGTATGTATGTATGGAGAGATTTTTTCATATAGAAACGAAAATTTAGTTTGGGTTTTGAATTAGGAGCTTGTACGCATTTTTCGAAAATTTATTTAATCTTATATTTAAAATAACTTAAAAAAAAAATTTGTTAAAAATTATCGTTTTTTTTCACAAAAAAACTCAGTTTCATGTATTATTCGAGAGTATATTTTCGAATACAAGCGCGTTCATCCTGCACTATTATTTATTATGCTTAGTGTTATTATAATATGAATTTTTGATAAAAAAAATGTATTCAAAGTATTTTTGTTAAAATCGTCAAAAAATCAATTATATTTTTTATTATAATTTCGTTCATCCTGCAGACAACTTTTATTCATTATGCGTAGTGTTATTGTAATTTGAATTCTTGATTGAATCCAATCATATATCTATAACGTTAAGTAATTGATTTAAATCTCTATTTTCTCTATTTTTATGTTCATTACTTGAAATTAACATATTAAAATAAAAAATTAATTGATATCATTGCCTGCCTGCTGGTTGATTGGTGCTTGCATTTCATAAACGTAATAATACTCGTGTACTGAAAACAACAACTCGTATATCGTATATACATATATGTTCTACGTGCTGCAACTCGTTATTTAAATACATAAACGTATGTTATATTATTATTTAATTTAAACTAATTGACAAAAACAACAACCCATACCCAATAAAATACGCTAAAATTAATGGTCTTACAATCCTACTTGGAATACCAAATAATTATATTAAATATTTAAATTTTTGTTTTTATTTTCGTTCAACTATCACCAAAAACAACAACCACAATCAACCTGTATCACCGTTAATTAAATCAACGTTAAATTTATTATAATAAAAACAAAAAAAAAAACATACCTACCATAAACTGCATGCGACTGTCCCTCTGACT